TGCGCTCCCCTCCCTGCGATCCGCTATCTGCCTCACTGCTGACCCCTCCGGCGGCCGCTCCCAGGGTGGGGTCCGCGGAGGAGGCCCCGCCCTCGCCCCTCAAGGCCCAGTCCTCGCCCTCCATTGGCTGCCTCGTTGAATATGCAATCGCGGGGGCGGGGCGCTGGGGAGACCAAGGCTGATGGATACATTGTAACGCGGCACCGGACCGCCCCTGGGCGGTCCCTCCGGCCCCACCCGCCCAGGCCGGGCCGGCTGGGCAGCTCCCGGCCTAATCAATCTCGCCCCTGCGTCGGCTGCAGTCATCTCGGTCCTTTCCAGTTGTTTTATCCACACCCCCTCCCCAGCTCCGTCGCCGGTGTTCCTCTTCTCGCTGTTGGTCTGCTTGTTTTTGCGACTGTCCCTCTGTCTCTGTCTCTTCTGTCTCCGCCCGGTCTGCGGCTTCCCTCTCCTCCTTCACCCCCTCACTTACGCTCTTCTCCCTCCCTCCTCCGCTATCGCCGTAGGACCCTCCCCTCCACTTAATTCTTTCCATCTGCAGAATCGCTCTGCGGGCCGGCTGCGCCGAGGGGGGCCGGGTTCCTGCCCCAGGAAGAACTCCCCGTCCCCACACCCCCGCCCTCCTCCTCTTCTCCCTTCTCATATTTCTGCTCTCGGCCCGCCTCGCTCCTTGCCCCTCGAGTCTGCTTCTGTCCTTAGCGTGTCGCCAAAACTCCAGCTGGGGCCAGGGGATCTCGGGAACCAAGATCTGTCCGGAGGGAGCCCTGTCCTCGCTGGACACTCCCGGAGCCCTAGGGCCTTCATCCGCTCAGCGGCGGGACGTTCTGTGGGACCCAGTGGCGGGCGAGGCCCAGCTCACTGTGCCCACAAAGCGGAACTGATCGGGTGAGGACCCCCTGCACCTCTCCTATGTCCAGCCCACCTAGTGAAGCTCCGGAGCTACTCCGCCCGGTGTTCCAGTGCCAGCCTGGACGTCATCCTGACTGGGGATGCTTGTGAGGTTACCGGCTTGGGGTTTGTAAGCAGATTCCAAAATGGTTAGCTGTCTGCCAAACCAGCCCCTCTGGGGAGGACTTCTCCCACTACCTGTCCCGGGCGCCTTAGAACATCTCTGGAGGCTTGGACCAGGGCAGCCTTCAGCAGTGACCAAGTGCAGCCCTTTGCTGCCAACTGAGTCCTTTTGGTCTCCAATCTCCATTCTGTCAAAGATTTTGACAACCAGTGTGTGATTATTAAGACAAATGTTAGCACGTACACCAAATTGTATCGCACATCTATCCAATGCCCTTTATCATTTTAAGCAGTATCAAGCCTATTTGCTTAAAAAAAGAAGGCACCTGATCGTTGGGAATAAATGTGATGACCCTCTCACTCCCGGAAATGAACAAGGTTGTCATGGAACTCTGCTTCTCTCTGAGCTTCCACAGGTAAGGGTAGGGTTGGGAACCACCAATGTAGATCTTCTCTAGACTTTACAGAAAGGAGGTGATGTCTTCCAACTGCACAGGCAGGTAGTGGGGGAACCTTGAGCACAGCCTCAGGCACCCAGCTTCTCCCAGAGCTCTCTGTCTTGGCCCCATTCGTGCTCTGGATGATGGTAGCCCTGCCGTGTGGAAGTGTTGAATGTTTTCCCTACTATGGTTGCAAGTCCAAATTCCTTCAGGGGTCCGGCAGGTGTAAGGCAATCCATGTGGGCTGGACCCATGAGGATGGAAAGCTTGAGACCGAGCCTGACCTTGGCATAGACACCCTCTCTTGTTATACCTGGTGAACACACTGATGACCTCTGCTGTCTTTTTCCTTCTCTCTTCAGTCGTTCCTGGGCAGAGCCTGGTGGGCGATCAGGAAAGATTTGCTGGGCTGAAGACTGGGTGGATAAAGAGATGGATGTGTGAATGTTAAGGCTGAATGGCTTCTTTGGTTTTGTGATTTTCTCTATCCCCCTGCACACAGCACACCTGCTCAACACATGTGTTCTGTACCCAGTAGGTGATCGATAAATGTGAGCAATTTACAGGCAGTTTGCCCAGATAGCAGCTGGCTGACCTGAGGTCAGACTCACAGCTGGCTGCTCCAGAATCCCCTAAGACAATATGTCCCATGGATGGGGTACAGGATATGAGCAACCAGATGGGTACCAGAGGCCTTGTACCAGGCCTGAAGGTTGGGCCAGGCCCAAACCTGTGTCTCCCTGCCCCGTCATGTACACAGCAAGAAGCCTCACACTGGAAATGCCAGAGGTCCTAGCCCAAGCCCCCACCTTACACGGGAGAAAGTACGATGGTCCCAGTGGGAGAAAAGAGATTGCCAAGGTCACCCCATGACCTGATAGCTAAGCTAACAATCCTAAGCACACCCCAGCTCTCTTTTCATTGGTCCCAGTCTGGCCCAGTGGTAGCTCTGTGCCTATATGTTGACCTCAGAACTGAATATAGGTGAGAACTCCCAAGTGGGGCTCCCTCTTCCTTTTCTAGTGACTTCATCTACCCCATGGTCACCAGAATGGGACAACGGAGAGAAGACAGGGTTTGGAGAACAGATACCTGGGTGAGTGACCTTGGACGGGTCTCTGCCCTCTCTGTAACCTGTGGGGTTAACCAATGAGAGCAGCTCTCTCATCCCCGCCCACTTCCCCAGGGACTGGCGGGTCCAGTGAGCATGCAAACAGGATGCTGATTCGCTAGCTGTGAACAGCAGGGCAGTTGGGAAGGGAATATTGATCCCTTCAATAATGATCAGATCTGTTTTATCTGGAGAGGTGGGGAAAGAGGCAGTAGGGAAATGTCAGCCTCCAAAGTCTCCTGGGCAGTGGTCTGATGGGTGTTTTGGGGTGCTTCAAACCCATAGCTTTGTGTTCAGAGGAGCAGGGCAAATGTGAGCACGGAGAGGAAGTGGTGAGGGGTTCTTTGAGAGAAAACCAGCTTTTTGTTTGGGCCCAAAAGACCAGCAGAGATGAGCAGGGGCAGAAGATGTGGTTTCACGATCCTGTGCAAATTGACTCCGTTGATTTCTGTGGAAAACACCTTTGGTGATTGATGGTGTGAAGGGACCCTGAGGCCCCTGCAGCCGGCTGCACTGCCCGCTGTCAGGAACACAGCAGAGGACTCGCAAGCCAGGCTGTGTGATCCGCCTCTCCTGTCCTGGGCCCGGGGCCCAGCCCTGGGTGCCTTTGCAGGGTGTTGACACAGAAGGTGTCAGTTTACAGCAGAGAGGGCAAAATGGCAAATCCTCTCCTTGCCTGTGCCACTGTCCCATCCCCCACGTGGGACAGAGGCCGAATGCAGACCTTCTTCCCAGACCTGACCCCAGCTTCCGCCTCAACACAGCTCCACGGTGCTGCTTCCAGAAGCTGCAGTTGACTACATGTGAGAATTGGTTGTCATCTCAGCCTTCTTTCTGCCCCACCCCCCCCGCCCCTCCCC